TGTTCGACCTTGTGAGCACTTCCCGCTTGGGAGAAAATGATGATAGAGCAGGAACGAGCGGGTATTAAAACAATAAGCGAAGATTCGTTCTTGCAGTAACTGAAACACGGCATTTCAATCAAGTGCGCATTTCAGTGCAGATCACATCATTCATAGTGAATTTCTCGGGAAGAAATGTTAGGCGGCGAAAGAGCAGACAATGAACGTGTTCTCGGGACACGTAATAAAATAATCCTCAACGTTGGCGGGTTACGGCATGAGACTTATGTCGGAACATTAAGAAACATCCCTGATTCAAGACTCTTCTCTTTAACTAACAATAACCCAACACAAGTTCCGGAGTTTGACCCAAATTCAGGTGAGTTCTTTTTCGACCGCCATCCACTGGTGTTCGCTCAAATTTTGAACTACTATAGGACGGGGAAACTTCACTGCCCTAACGATGTTTGTGGGCCAATTTTCGAGGAGGAACTGGCTTTTTGGGGCTTGGAAGACGCCAGCATTGAGACGTGCTGTTGGATGAATTATAAAAAACATGGCGAAGCACAAGCAAACCTAAGCTCGTTTGATAGAATGGTAGAAGAAGGCGCAAGTGAACATGAATATAGTTTTCATGAAGAGGGAGACGTTGGACTTCAAACACGAAGTTATAAACAAGTTTTATGCAAGTATAAATCAAGAGTATGGCTCACTATGGAGGAACCGTCAAGTTCGTTCACTGCCAAGGTAGGTTGTACGAAATTAATAATATAAAGTGCCGTGGTTGGGTCTAAATTAGAAAGCTCCACTGTTTGATTATTCTAATTAAGCATTCATATTAGTTATTGTGGGGTCCACTGTACGTAGGACTCCACAATAAGCTGCCGTGGATTGAATAATACCACAAAAACATCGAAACGCTTTGGCTTGAGCAGGCTTAGTGGGGAAACGATGCTGCACTATCTCGTGTAAACTCAGTGTCTTTCATCATTTCAGGTAGTTCTGAGCTTATTGTCGAATCCTGCCCACATTGGAACCCCCGCGTTGCAGTTTTAATTATGCCGTCGTAGTTTGTGTCCTGAAATGAGAAAATCGAAGGCTTTTGTGAGAAGGTTATCTCCTGATCATTGGCATGCAATTTGTTCCTACACAAACTACGAGTGCTTATTTTGTAGGCCTACTACTCTGTAGAACACTGCATATATACTTTAGAGCGCCACAATTAAGCCCTACTAACATAAAAAAGATTAATACTGAAAAAGATTATTTTATTAAACAACTACTAAAACCACGTCGACATTTTGAGGGAAGGGTTTTAGTCAGGAGGTTAACACTGCTGCAGCATTCACATCAAGTGTTGTTCTCTTCATGTATGCATGCATACGTAATGACACTTTTATTTAAACCTTTCAAGTTACATGTATGTGACAGCTGGCGTGAATTATAATACACATTACTTCGTACAGTTGAATATATCAAATAATATTTAAATGTTCACGTGTAAACATTTGCGCAAAGAAATGGCATGACTGGAGAACAACTATACTAAACTACCTTGGGCCTTAATTCTGAAGCCTCAGTTAAACGAGGATGAGAGATGATCAGAGTTACAATTCACGCTCGCGTTTGACCTCCAACTCTCATCGATTCTCATGCAATCTCATCAACTTTGAACTCGTTCAAATGAGAGTTTTCGCCGTTCCATGATAGTATATCCAGTAAGCTCTCATGCAACTCTTGTTCTCGTTTAACCGGGACATGAGACTTGGGGCTAGTGCAAACTCTCGCGTCTCAACTCTCATCCACTCTCATTCTCGTTTGACCAGAACTTAATTAACGTTGTCTATGATAAAGTCAAATAAAGGCATCGTATTTTTTTCTGCAAGAATTTTGAAAACCTCTTCCACACTTAACGTGAACATAATATAAATTCAATTTTAAATTTCCCAAATGCAAACATGCTCGGGAAAAATATAATATTTCAAAACGGAACTGTATCAGAGCGAAAGAACAAAAAAATAATACACTATATAATTAATTTCTTGTCCTTTATCGTAATTATCGCAACAACCCCATCGCAAGCGTCACAACGATTTTAAAAACGCGAAATTTTTAATAACAACTGCAATTTATTGGAAACTTGAGTCACGCCGATAACTAAGACTCTTACGAGAACGTCGCAAAGATACAGTCTTACTGCGATTTTTGTCATAGCGATGTCTGCGTTCCGCGACTATTGCGATGATTACGATTTAAGGGGAACTAGGCTTAAGGGCCTTCGCTCGAAACGTCGAAATTCTCCTTATATTTTTCAGGTAGACAATCTTGTTGTCTAATTCCTATCAATCCGAAGTTTTTTTTATCATTGGCACTATACAGTACATACGCTGACACAGATCATTCTACGTGCGTATATATATATATATATATATATATATATATATATATATATATATATATATATATATATATATATATATATATATATATATATATATATATATATATATATATATATATA